GCTCTCTATAATTCAGTTCCTTTTACTTCCGTGCATTAAATTTTATCCTTTCTAGTTGATGGAAACGGCGTCTCGGCTGCAAGTGCCCTTTGTGGCAGCTGCAGTTTCTCTCGGCTGTATCCTTACGGTGGCTGTTGTATTGCCAGTCCTGCATATTCAGCTTAACATGGCACAAGCAAGATTGCAAAATAGAATGGACTCCTTCAAGGTGCATATAATGCAGAACTTTTTCCTTATACTTAATGTTTTCTTTCAAAAAAGTTCCAATTTAGCATACCGCACGTAACATCTGGCAGGATATTGTCCTCGTAAAAAGTCACGGAAGAATTCGTCGTCAAGGTTATGGTGGTTACGACGCCTCTATCGATAATCAGCAGTGCACTTCTTGTGTCCAACTGCAGTGCCCACCAGGACCGCCAGGTCCACCTGGGGTAAATGGTGAACCTGGAATGGATGGTGCACCTGGTCGACCAGGTATGGACTTATGTTGTAATATTTTTGACAGCAGGCACGGACACTACTAATTTAAGGAAAACCTGGACTCGACGGCCTAGATGTGCCTCTCGATCCTGAGCCAAGCTTCCCATGCGTGATTTGTCCAGCAGGACCTCCAGGAAACCGAGGACCTCAAGGAGAAACTGGCCGTCCAGGTGTTCCTGGTGAGCCTGGACACCCCGGTCTGCCTGGACGACCAGGAAAACCAGGACGCGTTGGTGATGCAGGACCTCAGGGCGAACCTGGTGAACAGGGAGAACCCGGAATTAAAGGGCCTCCTGGTGACGACTCTATCGGAGGAACAGGAGTCAAAGGACCCCCAGGCCCTCCTGGTCCTCGTGGACCTAAAGGTCCGCCTGGAGCAAATGGTATGCCATCTCAAAACCCTGGTCCAGCTGGGCCTCTGGGTGAAATGGGACCTCCTGGTCCTCCTGGACCGCGCGGAGAACCCGGACCGCCTGGTCCATTTGGACCTCCAGGAGATGCAGGAGAACCTGGTGGTCACTGTCCGTCATCTTGTGGAGTAAGTTTCAATCTTTAATTTCCGAGAGGGGAAAAAGAGACATCAGAAATGATTCTACTCCCGCTTGCAGGTTCAAGAGATCGTCGCTCCTTCTGTATCGGAACTTGATACCGGCGAGTACCCTCAACAAAACTACCCTCAAAGAGGAGGTCGTGGAGGTTACAGCGGAGGATATGGTGGATAATAGCTCCCATCAAGTCATCTATTAAAATTTAAGCAGTGTTAAGCATAAAAAGCAGTGTACGATGCGTCTGTTTAGCTGTTGGAATTTACAATTTTATTCATAAACTTGGTTTAATATGTACAGGGCGGTCAATCCTGTGGTCAGAGCGAGCTGTGATTGTGCGAATGTGGTGGGAGTCTTCTTTCAGCACATTCCGCATGTTTTGGCACAATTTGTGAACTTCTGAGAAACGCTGTAGAAACTGCTCTCACAGAAACCATTCAACTTCCATGTCGCACAACTAAATCAGTTTTAGAATACTCGGCTTTTTCAACAATAAAGTTCACACATACGTTTTAGAGTTATCCATACATGAACCAGGAGCGTAAGTGACTCCTCCGGGATGTGTCACTGCTAAATATTTTTGAATAATGAAAACATATCAGAATTGGAATAGCGTATCCACTTACATGTGTTGCCTTCACAATAGCCACATGTTTTCTTGCAGTTGCTTTGAACGAATGGCTAAATTAGATTTTTAATGAAAGTTGGTCTCATATTGGCTGCGGCAAGTTCAATTTAAAAGCACTCAAATATGGACCTGCATATCGACATTACGGC